GATAGAACAGTAAATATGATAGGAGATAATAGGGTGTTACCAAGTCCGAAGTATAAGATAGTGAAGTGTTAATTTATTAGAGAGAGAAGGCCGATATTATAATTGGGCCTTTTTCCAATAGAAAGTGTTTAAACTAATATGTAATTGATAGAAAGAAAGCATTCAAACTAATTTGGGATGTAGGGTGTTTTTTAAACACCCTACTTATGAGAGGCAAGGTAAGGAATCCTAGCTTCTCCCCCTTATAGTTTGTACAATAATGTCACACTCTTACTATCGCTCTCTCTCTCTCTCTAGATTTATATTCTCGATAAATTATTGAAAGATTTTTCACACAACAAATGCAACACATTGAAATTATTATAGGAATTACGTATTAGAAATGTGTTGGATTAGATGTGTTAGCTAATATAGCATAAATAAGCTGATTCTAGTACAAGTTACTATATTACGAAGTAATAAACTTCTTGAGTAGTCTTACTCATATGTACTAGAAATCTTGGAGCATGATGAAGATTTATATTATTATTATTCTGTGTATACGTAACATTTTAAAACACTTTGTATAGTTTTGAATATAGAAATTATAGTAATAAAGCATGTCAAATTGTCAATACACTCATAAGAGAAGTTTGGAGGAGCTCACTTGCAAGGATTCGATTCTAGTAACAAAGCAAGCCAACAAAAAACAAAAACTCTCAAAATCTTCTCTTGCCGGAGCCGGGGTAAATCAAGTAAGGGGTGTTGGAATGAACCAACCCCCTGAAGAGCAATGAAAATATTGTGTTGGAATTGCCGAGGGGCGGGCAACTCTCGTGCAATTCGAGCACTCCGACATTGGAGTGGTAGTATTAGCTCGGATATTATTTTTTTGTGTGAAACTATGATCAGCAGGAAAAAAATCAGAAAATATAAAAAACTAAATTTGGCTACTCTATGTCTGTTGGTGTTGATAGCAAGGGTAAGTCGGGAGGGCTTTATGTGTACTGGAGGGAGGGGATCCACTTTTCTTTGGTTCCTTTTTCAGACCACCATATTTGTGGTGATGTTACTGAGGTTGGGGTCGGGTTTGGAGATTTTTAGGGTTTATGGGTGGGTTGATAGAGCTTTAAAGAGCAACACTTGGGCCCTTGTGCGTGAACTCTATTTGGATTCTCCTCATCCTACGGTCTTCGGGGGCGACTTTAATGAAATCCTCAGCTCTGATGAGAAGTCTGGTGGCTTTCCGAGAGAGCAGTGAGCTATGGATGCTTTTAGGGAGGTTCTTGATGACTGCAATTTGAAGGACCTTGGTTATGATGGTTCTTGGGTGACTTGGGAACGTGGGAATGACCCAAATGGCTTTATTAGGGAGTGTTTGGACTGATTTGTGGCATGTTCTCGGTGGTGTGCCTGGTTTAATTAGGCTCATGTGTCTCATTTAACAAAGTTCAAGTTGGACCATGTGGGTATTATGTTAGACACGGAAGTCAGAGTGCGCAAAAAGAAGATAGCAAAAAAGAAGAGGTTTCGATTTGAAACCTGCTGGTTGCTCTCTGAAGGGGTCGAGGATGTTATCAGAAATGCTTGGGATGGTTCTCGTCATCTTGACATGCCAAATAAGTTGCTGAATGTTGCAAATGAACTGACCTCATGGAGCAAGGATGCCTTCGATAATTTGGGTGAGAAGATAGCCGAGACTGAAGATGCCCTAAAGGAAGTGCAGCATAATGCGGGTTCTCAGCCCAATTCTGCCGAGTGTAACAGGTTGGAAGCAATTCTCGATGACCTCCATGAAAAGAATGAAGCATATTGGTTTCTTCGATCGAGGGTTTCCGAGATTAAAGATGGGGATCATAGCACCAAACATTTCTATCATAAGGCGGCTCAGAGAAGAAGCAAAAATTATATTAAGGTCCTCAATAATGCTGATGGGGAGTGGCGAACTGGGAAAAAAGATGTTGGAAAAATAATTCTCGATTTTATGGTTCTTTGTTTGCTAGAGGTGATATGGGTGAGACTTTGATGGAGGATGTTCTTGAGAGTGTTCCGGCCATGGTGACAGAAAGTATGAATTTGTCTATATGTCGCTCTTACTCCAAAGATGAAATTTTTTTACTGCTTTTTCTCAGATAAGTCCATGCAAGGCCCCAGGGCCGGATGGTCTTCATGCGATTTTTTATCAAAATATTGGCATATAGTAGGTGACGATGTGACTATGTTTGTCAATAATATCAATTCTGGTAGAGTTTCTCTATATGATATCAATCGTACTAATGTTGCTCTTATCCCTAAAGTTAAAGACCCGACTTGTATATCTCAATTCCGGCCAATTTCTCTTTGTAATGTGCTTTACAAATTAGCTTCAAAATCTGTGGCTAATAGACTAAAGCCGCTTCTTCATCGCATGGTTACTGAAAATCAGAGTGCTTTTGTTCCTAAACGACTGATTATTGATAATGCTTTGATTGCCCTTGAGCTCTTTCATACTATGAAGAAGAGATGTAAGGGCCGTCGTGGGTCGGTTGCTATGAAATTGGATATGAGCAAAAGCGTATGATAGAGTGGAGTGGGAATTTCTGAGGAAACTTTTGACTAAATTGGGGTTCGTCGGAGCTTAGGTTGATACTATTATGGTTTTTGTTTCTACTGTACAATATTCTTTTATCATTAATGGGGTCCCCTCGGATTCGTTGACTCCGTCTAGAGGGCTCCGTCAGGGAGATCCTATTTCCCCTTATCTTTTATTTTAGTTTGCTGATGTATTGTCTAGAATGTTACAGTCAGCATCAGGGAAAAAAATTGATCAATGGAGCTCGGGCTAGCAGAAATGGTCCGGAGATTACTCATTTGTTCTTTGCAGATGATAACCTTTTGTTAACTAGAGCTACTTGACAGGAATGTTCAATCATTGTTGATACACTCAACAAATATGAAGCAACTTCAGGGCAAAAATTAATTAGGGGAAGTCAGAGGTATCTTTTAGTAGAGGAGTTCAATTACCATCTTGGATCACTTTTAGCTCTATCCTTGGTATGAAGATGGTTGAGAACCATATCAAATATCTTGGCTTGCCAACTGTTATGGAGAGATTGAAGAAAGCGGTTTTTGCTTTTTGACGGATCGAAGTTGGAAGAAGGTTCAAGGTTGGAAGGCGAAGCTTTTGTCTAGAGCCGGGAAGGAAGTTCTTTTTAAGTCAGTCATTCAAGCCATTCCAACATAACTCATGGGTTCCTAATTGGTTTGATTCAAGAAATTCATGGCATGATGGCTCGATTTTGGTGGGGGTCGAATGAGAAGGGTAGGAAGATACACTGGAAGAGTTTTATGCCAACCGAAGTGCCTTGGGGGTATGGGTTTTAGAGACTTGGGGATTTTTAATGAAGCTCTCCTTGGAAAACAAATTTGGCGCCTAGCAACAAATGAGCAATCATTTGTGAGTCGTGTTCTCAAAGCCAAGTATTATCTGCGGACGTCCATTTTTGAGGCTACTCTTGGTCCATTTCGAGTTACTCATGGCAGAGTTTATGGAGTTCTAAAGCCCTTGTGAAGGAAGGTATGTTATGGAGGGTTGGTAATGGCCGCAACATCAATATCTGGACGGACCCTTGCTTATTGATGATGAAAGTCGCTTTGTTGCCACTGACAGCAGAGTTGACATTTGTTCAACGGTTGATGAGTTGATTGATAAGGAAGGCTGCAGCTGGGATTTAAACAAGGTAAAGGGCATTTTCAATGAACGTGATAAGCTGGCCATTTTAGCTATCCCAATCAGTGAACAAAGGGGAATAAATGATACACTCACTTAGGCATGGTCAAAAAATGGTTATTACAATGTAAAGTCAGCCTACATCCTGGGAAAATCACTCGCTCTTGATGATTTTGAACATTTCTGGGTCAAAGTATGGAAGGTGAAGACTACCCCGAAGGTTTGTCACTTCTTATGGAGATGTTGCTCAAACTCCCTGCCTTCTCGAGGCATTTTGTTGCATAGGCATCTTATCGAAGACTACCTATGCCCCTGCTGTGGTTCTGCGAGTGAAACAGCCGTCCATGCTATGATTTTGTGTCCTAGTGTGCATCAATTGTGGTTGAAAAGTGGCTGCAAGGAAGCTCTTAATTTTGCTGCATCTGATTCTTTTGGAGATATTTTGCTTTGTTTGGCAAAAAATCTTTCGGAAGATGTTTATCAAAGAAGCTTATTTCTCACTTGGTTTATTTGGTTTCGTCACAATAAATGGGTCTTTGAGAATGTGTGGGACTTGGATGAGGCTCCCCCTCTTCAACATAGCAGATTGGTGGCTGACTATGGTGAGTATACCGAAAGAATTTATGGGGGTATAACTCCTCCCATTGAGCCTGCTGGTAGACCAGTGTGGTTGCCTCCCCCTCTTGGTGTAGTGAAGATAAATGTCGATGCCGCAATTTCTGATGAAGGCTGAGTGGGGTTGGGTGCCATTGCCCGTGATAGCAGGGGTCAGAACATGTTCTCGGCTATCAGCAGAGCTAGAGCTCGTTGGGAGCCGTTGGTTGCAGAAAGCAAGGCAAGGGATCAAGGCTTCAGTGATGTTATCCTTGAGGCAGATTCATTATTTGCTCGTCTCCAATTAAGCTTAAGAAGAAGTCCTTCTCTTTTGCTGTTGTTGATGGTATTTTAGAAGACATAGTCTTTGTTAGCTCGAGTTTTTATTTTCCATTTTTTGGTCTCATGTAAAGCGTGATGGGGAATTTCGTTGCCCACCACCTAGCTAGGTTAATGTCGTATGGTCGTGAACATCTTTGGGAATATCTTGTACCATATGAGATTTCCCCGTATGTACTTTTGGATAATCTTTCTATGAATTAATGCACTAACCGTTCTCTTCAAAAATAAATAAATAAATAAATAAATAAATTGTCAATACACTCATTAATCAAGGTGCTCCATATATAATTGATCCTTCAAACCCGATTATTATAGCTAAGCAATCGAAAACACAACAGAACACAAACATCTATTAAACTTAATTACCAAAAGTTAATTAATTGACGAAAAAGTGTATATATATTAATTATATGTAAAAATAAAAATTAAACCATCAAATATACATACATTAACAAAGCAACAGATGAAATAATAATACTACTAACTAGCTTAGTAGCATTACCAACTTAAAAACTATACTCATTAATTAATAATAACCAAGAACATCTAATTGATGAAAAAACTGATCATACAAAAAACTACTATGATCAATAACACCAAAATTACTATCTTGCCCTTTAACAAAAACACCATCAAACTGCTCAACAAACTCCTCAGATGAACTTACAGAAGGGGAAGATCCATTAGTATTATCTACTAATGATCTTTCATTAGTATTATCTACTAATGATCTTTGATTAGTATTATCTAATAATGATCTTTGATTAGTATTAGCGTAATTCTTCGTTACCTCGGGCGTATTACAACCACTGACGATGTGATCTTCATTAATAATCCATGTATCATTTCCACCACTAGTCTCCATGATGTTAACAACATCGGATTCTCGCCCGGTAAGCTCTTGTACAATCGCTCTAAACTTAGAAGCGCTTGTAGTAACTTTCATAGGGGTCGAGATGTACACAACCTTCATCGCTTCGACTTTTTTGAATGACTTCTTGCCCATCCCTGATGGTTTTTTGCTTCTTTTGCCCTTAACTTCTTGTTGCCTTTGTTGCTGGTGATGGTGAGGTAAACTGTACAAATCCATTTTTGTTTTTTTTTTTTCCTAGATACTAAGCTAGTTATTTTATGTTGAAAAATATGGAAATAAAATTATTTACGAATTAACAATTTATCAGAATATGGTAGGGTTTATATAGTGGTTTGCCTTGGAGATATTCTCTGAATTCTTATTGTCCTTTTTAAGGAAGGTTTTGATGAAGTACTAGAAGATTGGTTGTTTCGTGGAAGGGTGTGTGGGAAAAAAAAGGGAGGTTATATTTGTTGGTGTGGATTGATTGAAATCATTGAACAGGACGGATTTAATTTAGATTTAGTTAATTATGGAAGTTTGAAGGAAAAAAACAGAACATTCTGTTGACATATTAGTTAACTACTATGACTGGGAAGCTTATATACTACCCCCGCTTGTATCATTTTACTTGTCTCGTTTGACAATAAAAGTTGGTCAACTGTGACAAGTAATATGAGATGAAGGAAGTAATTTATCGATAGTTTATTAAGGTTGTAATATTCTTATGTGGATCTTAGCTTGTATTCTATTTGCACAAATTAGGGAAATGTTTTGGTGATTTTAGGTGAAATGAGGATGGATGAGTGATAGGCTTATCGCGTACCTAACAAAAATAACCTAACTATTCCTTCTAACTGTGTAGTAGGGCAAGTAAGGATCGAATCCCAAGAGACTATGGTTCATTCAATTAATCAGACTCAATTAATCACTAAGCACGTCACCAATCAATAATGGATGATAATAATCAACTAATATATTAAATAATTAACTAGAGGAAATATTAATCAATAAACTAAAGCATCCAAGATCAAGCATTACCACGATTATGATTGATAAACTAATAAATCTACCCCCAATATATAAATCAATTGACAAGAAGAAAAGCAATCCCTAATAATAATACCAAAGGTCTCTTCCAAGTTATCAATGGCTTCCCAAATTAACTATCAAGCCTACTTCCGTGGAATCAAGCGAATAAGGGACATTAAACACCATGCCTAGATTCCTAATTATTCAATCATCTACTTCCGTGATGATCTTCAAACCCTTAATTGGAATAACCTAATCCCGTTAATACCCAACTTCCGTTGCAATAAGAACAAAGGGATGATAACAATACTAATTATTCCTAATCTAGTATTGGCATAAACACAATCAATTAAGCATGTCAATTGGGATTATTATTGGGGAATTTAAAGATCTACTTTATACATCAATCATAATCGGGCTTAGCAAGATCCCGGATTAAGGAAACTACTCACACATCATAATAAAATCAAAATCAAGTTCAAAAACAAGAAACAGTAAAGAAAACATATTTAGAGAACAGTGAATATCAGAAAAGAGTGAAGTAAGATAAATACCAATTACTCCAATTGAAAGAACTCAAATTGTTGATGAACAATTGATTAATCTGGGATTAAAAGATTGAAATTGCTTAAAGGAAATAAAACTAGGGTTCTTGAGAGTTTTCTAGGGCTTAAGGAGAAAAACTAATGAAAAACTCACTTTAAAAGTTAATTACAAAAGGGTATTTATACCCTCAAAAGATAGAAATTCGGAAATAGCTGAAATCGCGCAATCTTGAACATCGCCCGGTCAGACCGGGCAAACCTCGCCCGATCGGGCGGAGGAAAGCTGCGTAAAATACGACAGTTTTCCTTCTTTGCCCGGTCAGACCGGGCGAGCCTCGCCCGGTCGGGCGCGCGTAACACGTTTCCAGAATTGCATCTTCATAACTTGACTTCTTCATCGCCCGGTCTGACCGGGCGAAGCCTGCCCGATCGGCGCGCGTTGCACCGTTCAGAATTGGGCTTCTTCCTGTGAACTCTTCATTGCCCGGTCTGCCCGGGCAAGCCATGCCCGGTCGGGCACTCCACATAAATTGCAGTTCTTGGCTATCAACTCTTCCGAATCTACTAAAAACACGTCCAATCGCCTAGAAACGCTTCATATTCCTGAAAAGCTTACTAAAACAATCGAATACACTAAAGAAGAGATTGTTAGCAAGAAATGGCTCCGTAGAGCTCAAAACCATATAAAATTACTAAGTAAAACCGGGGAAAACCATTGTATAAAACACGTATATCAAATTCCCCCAAGCTAAAACCTTTGCTTGTCCCTAAGCAAAGCAATGAATAAATAAATCAATACTTCACCCCAAAAGCAATTCAAATCAATAAATACGATTAAAGGTAAACTCGACAGTTATGCATCAAAGTCAAACAATCAAATCCATCTGACTACTCATCCTGTCTGACAATAGTCAAATAGAGCAAACCACAAGAGCATATAGAATTCAAGACTAGTGTTCACACACTCAACTCTCATTTATGTGGCGAGTAAAAGATATACTCGATCGCTCTCCATCCAACTCCTTTAAATGTGAACAATGCCCTCCAAACTCACGCACTCGTGTGTTTAAAGAAAACAAGCACTCAACCTAGCAGTCGACTCGAAATATATCAAATCATTCTTTGCATTGGAAAACAACTAATTTCACATTCACACAACTCTATGCACAAAGGTCAGAAGGTCTTCAAAGCTTGTAATGTAAGGCTAGGATAAAAGGTAGGAAATATTTGGGAAAATGTAAGAGTAAAGCTATGCTTAAGGGAGCCAAAATCCTAATAAATAAAACCAAGGTCAAAATGAATTAATGACCAAATCATCTCCAACACAACTCAACTCTACCAAAAATTCACCAAACATCCAATTATATTAAAAATTTCCAACACTTAAAATTTCACTCATATATACAAATATAAAATTATAGAACTTGAGTGAACAAACAAACTTTGAACTCTCCTTTTTTTTCTTGAGCAGCCTTCAATTAGAACACTTGAACATTGAAACAATTTTTTTCTTTTGCTCTTTCTTTTCCCTTTTTTTCATCTCACATTGGAATTTTTTCTTTGCACAATAAATTTTCAATTTTTTCAATCCACAACAATAAGAACAAATAAAAAACTTCTCAAATCCACCCAAAATTGTGCAGATTACATGCACACTACAACTCCCTCACCTCACTCACTATTAGCTCCCCCAAGCCAAGCTTGGGACTAGTAACCAATGGGGCTTAAATAGGCTTGTAATGTGGCAAAATAAACAATAAAAGGGCACAAGCAACAACATGGGTAGCAAGAAGGGAACAAATGTATCTAATATCGTCTGAAAGCCACCTAGAGGAACAAATGCCTTCGTCCTCCTCAATGTGCATATTAATGAGTCATGCAAACATTACTCAAAGTTATAAACCAATACTCAACTTCATTGACATACCAGGAACTAACACACATTCCTAACCAAATCAACTAGTCAAGCACTATATTCACAAGTAGTTGGGCAAAATTGACTCATGTTAAGACATCCAAGTAATCAAACATCAAATCATGGC